CAAACCTTCCCTTCCCAAACCTTCCCTTCCCTTCCCAAACCTTCCCTAACCTTCCCTTCCCAAACCTTCCCTTCCCAAACCTTCCCTTCCCTTCCCAAACCTTCCCTTCCCAAACCTTCCCTTCCCAAACCTTCCCTTCCCAAACCTTCCCTTCCCAAACCTTCCCAAACCTTCCCTTCCCTTCCCAAACCTTCCCTTCCCAAACCTTCCCTTCCCTTCCCAAACCTTCCCTTCCCAAACCTTCCCTTCCCAAACCTTCCCTTCCCTTCCCAAACCTTCCCAAACCTTCCCAAACCTTCCCAAACCTTCCCAAACCTTCCCTTCCCTTCCTCATATTATTGGCTTTTCACAAACATGATAATTAATGTTATATGTAGAAGATTAGAAAATTTTGTTGTATTAATATAGTTTCCTTTATTTCTGTTCTTGATAAAACTTAGAAATAGTGGTATAATATAATATAATATAATATAATATAATATAATATAATATAATATAATATAATATAATATAATATAATATAATATAATATAATATAATATAATATAATATAATATAATACATATATATGTTAGGCTGTAACATGATATTAAAGCACCAACTACTTTTTGTTTATATAACCCAGAGGCTAAAAGAAAAAAATAATAGTCAGAGACCCCCCTGCATCCTAAGATTGTCTTGTGCAGATGGAGACAAGCAGTTCTCCGAGCCCTGCAAAGGAAATATTTATGGAACCTGTTATCAAAGGACATAAAACCCAGTGGGGCCAAGAAGATTGATCTGTTGGGAAGGGGGGAAAGGAAAAACTAAACAAAGAACACAAAAAAAGAAGAATGTCTGAATATGTGTGAGAATTTCTGGATATGGAGCAGGGTTCTGTTTTTAAGGGACAATCCTTTGTCAGTGAGGTGAATGCACAGACACCCGGCCAGATCTGGGTACTTTACTTTATTTTTTATCTCCTAATTGTCTTTTTATTAAACTTTTACATTCTATAAAACTTATGTGAACCCCATTTTTCACACTGGGGCAGGAGGGTGTGGGAAGGGACCCCCAGGAATCATGGAGTGCCAAGTCCTGACCCTTCACAGGGCACTCCAACAATCCCACCCTGTGCCTGGGAGCCTTGTCCAAGTGCTCTGGCAGGAATTTTGGGAATTCTCCTGCTTCTGGAGAGCACCTGGTACAGTACCAAAGCACTCAGAATTCAAACATACCTGTGTCTCAGATAAAACCAACGAGCTGCCCATGTTCTGTAGGATCTATAACAATAAAATCATTTCAGATCTCATCCACCCCTTCACCTGTGCTGGCTTTTGGCTGCAGGTGCTGGAAGCGTTTGCTGGGCGCCTGATTAAGGTGGGAGTTTTATCCAGGAGGGAGATTCCCAGCCTGACCAAGTACCAGATCATCCTGGCCAGGGATCAGTACAGGAAGAACCCCTCTGCACAGCATGCAGTAAGTTCTTTATTTATTTCGTGCTATTAAAGTAGTGAATAAATAAGAATAATCCATGGTAGTTTTCTGCTTTTTGCCATGGAATAAAATATCATAGAATCACAGCAGGGTTTGGGATGGAAGGGATGTTTAAGATCATTTATGAAATCAATAAAATATTACTAATTTTTCCACGTTTCTGGATGCCAGTATGGAAGAGTTAAGGAAAAGATCAAGAAATCCATTTAATTGAAATTGATGTGAGAACTTACATTGTAATCACTCACAGCCGAGTTTTCATTTTCCCCTCAAAGATATATTCCTACTCCTGGTTTTTTTTTGGTAAATCCTCATGGAATGATCAAATTCTATAAACTTAAAGAAAATTGCCTAAAAAAAGAGCAATGAGAAATCTCCTTCACTGTGAGCAAGGCAACTTTCCTGACTTGATCCATGTGCTGGGAATCCCTGGGTTTCCCAGATGTTGGTGGTTCAGCTGGCAGGGTCTGGGGTAGCTGGGGGAGAGAACAGAGGTATTTTGGAGGTGGAGGAGGATTGCCTTCCCTGAGCATTGTGCAGTCTGTCCCCCGAGGGCTCTGATGGACAAACTGCTCCTGGGCATCGCTTTGGGGTCTGCTCAGCTCCTCAGGTGTCGCTCTGCTTTGGGCAGGAGCTGCAGTGGGATGGATTCCTGCTCCTCAGCCACTTCCTAACTGAGCCAGGGTCTGCTTTTCTCCCCCAGGGAATCCATCAAGGCATCATTGAGGGAGACTTTGCCCTTTGCATCAGCCTGTACCACGGCTACGAGCTGCTGCTGCAGATGGGAATCCGCTCCTTGTTCATCTACCTGTGGGGAATCATGGATGGATCCAAAGGTGAAGTGTCCTCAGGAGCATCCTTCCTTCCAGCTCCAGCCCCTCCCTTCACACACCTCACTCGCCTTGGCACCAAACACCTGACAGAGTCAGGGGCTGCAGATGGATTCCCTGTTCTGTTCCCTGGTGTTGGAAAGCTCATGGAATCCTGAGTTGTTCCAGCTCTCTCCACAGGGTTATCCCGCACCAAGAGTGAGCTGGGGCGCAACGAGGACTTCATCAAGCTCTACCAGCAGCTTCAGGACGTGTTCTCAGACACTGTCGTGGCTCCTGAGAGTGCAGGTGCTGGCAAGAGCACGGCAGGTCAGGATTCCCAGAAAATTCCTCTTTAAAAGCTGTGCTGCACTGGCTGCTGCTCTTTATTCCAGACTGAATTCCCAATATTCTGTCTCCCTCTCGCTCTTCCCTCGTGGTTTTAGCTACTTTCAAGCAAGTTTTTTTATGTTTGAAGTTTTTAATTTGCTCTAAAATGAAGGTTAAGATGCAACTGTTTCAGTGTAAATCTTTTCCAGTGTGACTCTAACAAAAAGAACAGCACTTTTATCAAAAACCAGGTTTAACAGTTGTTTTCTGTCAGCATTTTCTTTTTTTTCTTTTCTTTTCTTTTCTTTTCTTTTATTTTATTTTATTTTATTTTCTTTTCTTTTCTTTTCTTTTCTTTTCTTTTCTTTTCTTTTCTTTTCTTTTATTCTATTTTATTTTATTCTATTTTCTTTTTTCTTTTTTTTTTATTCTATTTTATTTTTTTAATTATTTTATTTTATTTTATTTTATTTATTATTTTATTTTATTTTATTAATTATTTTATTTTATTTTATTCTATTTTATTCTATTTTATTGTATTGTATTTTATTTATTTTATTTTATTTTATTTTATTGATTTATTATTTTTTTATTTTATTCTATTTTATTTTATTCTATTTTATTCTATTCTATTTTATTGTATTGTATTTTATTTTATTTTATTGTATTTATTATTTTATTTTATTTTATTTTATTTTATTTTATTTTATTTTATTTTATTTTATTTCATTTTATTTTATTTTATTTATTTTCTGTTTTGTTTAGAGCCAATATCAGGATTTGGGTCTGGCTCAGATTATTACTGTAGGAGGGAATGAAGTTCACTGAACCTTCCTGCTTGTTGCAGGTTTATTTACATCTTTCATTTCTTTATTTCCTTTCCAGCATTGGAAAAGAAAAAGGAATTTGTCTACAGCCATCCAAAATTAAAGAAATTGGAAGAAATTGTAATAGAACACTTTGAATCCTGGAAACAGGGATGTTCTGGTGAGCACCAACAACTCAGAGGAAAACCTGGGAATGGAAACAAGGAATTCCCTCCTGAGTGGTTTCCTCCTTTGTGCTGCTTTATTGCTCTGATTGTTTGTGCATCCTCCCCTCTCAAAGAACTTCACCATAAGATTTCTGTAAGATAAAACTTCTGTAAATTCTCATTATTAATTTGATATAAACTGCTCTGACAGCTGAATAAAACAGGGGTAGGGAACTCATCATTCCTGGGGCTGCCACGTTTCCTGCTGGTCCTGTCCTGGCAGCCTCCCCTCAGGGCCCTGCTGCAGAACACATTTGAGGACCTGAAGGATAAAAGTTCTGATATCCAGCCTGAGGATAAGAGTTCTCAACTCTGAGGCATCAATTTGGGCTTCAAACCCTTCAGTTACATTCACCTGCCTCTCATTCCTTTTCATCTCAATGAAGACATCATTCAGATCTCTTTGGTTTTGGGATGTTCCAGCTTCTTGATTCCAGCCTTTGGAATGATTACATGAGTAATAATAGCATCTTGTTCATTTTTTATCTTGCCTGTTTAGATCTCTTTGCTGTTCTGATAATTTCTGACCTGTCCTTCCCTCTTTCTTTTTGTGGTTTTTTCCTCTCTTGGAACACTTTTTTTCTCTCTTGGAAACACTTCCCATCCAAGCCCAGCTTTTCAAAGTGACTTCAGTGAGGGTGCCTCAGATAAGGAAATTCTCATTCTCACATTCTCCAAAATTAGAGCATGCTTTGATGCAGAGAGGAGTTGTTCAAGGAGGTGCATTTGGAGCATTTTCTGCCCATTTTCCCTTCCCTTTAAGTGAGACCAGAGCTGTGAACTCGTAACTTGTGGGGGGCGAATTTTTATTCACAATCCTTTTCTCGATACTATTACCATTCCTATGAATATTCCCATTAAAAGCTGCCATTTTTTCAAATCCAGCAGGTGAAGACAAGAGTGAAAGCTCTCCTGGGGACACGAGGGTGATGATCTTCTCCTCGTTCCGGGACAGCGTGCAGGAAATCGCGGAGATGCTGGCGCGGCTCAGCCCGGCCGTGCGGGCCATGACCTTCGTGGGACACTCCTCGGGCAAGAGCACCAAGGGCTTCACCCAGAAGGAGCAGCTGGAGGTGAGGAAAGAGGAGCTTTGGGCTAGCAATTAGTGATAACGAGCATTAATTGTGGAAATAACTCCAGGACTATGTGGCTGAGCTTTAAGTGTCGTTAGGAAATCCTTGTGGAGTCCAGAGTGCCCAAAACTATACTCAGGGAAAAAAACAGATTGATAACAAATAGATCAATAATTTATAGATTTAATTAATTGAATTAAATTGATTTAATTTAATTAATACATTGTGTTAACTGCTAAATTTAGATATCAAAAATCTGGGGAAATATGCCAATATTTTATTTTTTCTTCTAGGTAGGAAAGCTAAGATCTAGCATTAAATTCTGATCTAGCAAAACTGAAAAACAGACAACCCCTAAAATATTTACTTGCTAAGTTGGGGGATGAGTTTTATGAGAATGCCATGGTTGGAGACAGAAGAAGGTGTGGGTTTTTTGCCCTTTATCTTAGAGCTAAAGAGTTGAAATGCTGATGTTGGTCACACTGGGGTGTGATGTTTGAGGTAGCAGCTGGGAAATCAAAAAAGACAAAATTTTGTTGTTTTGGAATACAGATCAGTTTTCTTGGCTGTGATGCCTTCCAAGGATCACCTTGGGCAGTGCAAGAGCCTGGCCCTGGCTCCAGCCAAGATGGGTCAGGAGTTGGACACTGGGATCAGTTTTGCTCCATTCCCACCTTGGGTTCATTGTGCAATTGCAGCCTCAGGTGATGAAGGCCCATCCTCCCAGATTCTCTCCTCAATTCCCTGCTGCTTGCACTTGTTGGGGCTGAGGCTGCAGCGCTGCCCTTGCTGCTGGGGCTGGCTCTCGGAGTCTGCAATCCAGAGTGTGTGCCCTTCTTTCTGATCCTTACTTATGAGATCCAGAAAAACACTGAATTTCATAGAATATGGAATTCATGGCCGTGTTTTCATGGTGATACATGAGAACAAACGTTAAAGTCAGATAGGAAAAGCTAAAAGTGTGAGTGTGTAGATTAGAGAGTTTTCTTAAATCCCTGTGTGGAAAAGGTCAGTTTAGAGAACAGAGACAAGGTGGAGGATTTTGGGTGTTGTCTCTTGTCCTTCTTCTTTCTCCTTCATGTTCTTCTCCTGGAGGTTTTTGGGTGACAGTGAGTGACTGGACAGAGAATGCCACAGGGCAGCACAGAGGTGATGGGTCATTGGCTCATTAAGGAAAATAATATACCTGTCTGTTGTTAATTGGGTAAAAATTAGGGTAAAAAAAGGATTGTTGTGTGTGCTGAGCTGTGAGGAGACCCTGCTGACACTTTGTGTGCACTTCAGAGTTCTGCACAATGACACACTCTGCAAACAGCAAAGCTCCAACCGAGGGACCCCTGGAGCTGCTCAATCCCTTCCCTCTGTCCCTGCAGGTGGTGAGGCGGTTCCGGGAGGGGGGGTACAACACCCTGGTGTCCACCTGTGTGGGTGAGGAGGGGCTGGACATCGGTGAGGTGGATCTCATCGTGTGCTTCGACGCTCAGCGCAGCCCCGTGCGCCTGGTGCAGCGCATGGGCCGCACCGGCCGCCGGCGCCACGGCCGCATCGTCGTCATCCTGGCCCAGGGCCGCGAGGAGAGGGTGAGTGGGGCACGGCCAGGGAATCAATCAGGGATTGCCTGACCCTCAGGGATCATCCCAACCCTGCCCAGACCCCCAACAATCCCAGCCTGGGCATCCCTGGCAGCGCTGCCCAAACGCTCCTGGAGCTCCGGCAGCCTCGGGGCCGTGCCCATTCCCTGGGGAGCTTTTCCAGAGCTCATTCCTCCCTCTGGGGGAAGAACCTTCCCTGATCTCCAGCCTGAGCCTCCCTGGCCCAGCTCCAGCTGCTCCCTGGTGCTGTCCCTGTCCCAGGGAGCAGAGACCAGAGCTCTCCCTTGGGAGGAGCTGCAGCCCTCGTGAGTCTCTGCCCAGCCCCGTCCCTCTCTGTTACAGGGAACTCCAGCACAGAGCCCTGGAATGGTTTGGGTTGGATGGGACCTGAAAAATCCTCCAGTGCCACCCCTGCCATGGCAGGGACAGCTCCCACTGTCCCAATGTCCAGCCCCAGTGTCCAGCCTGGCCTTGGGCACTGCCAGGGATCCAGGGACAGCCACAGCTGCTCTGGCAATTCCAGCCCAGACAGCAATTCCCAATTCCCAATCTCCCATCCATCCCTGCCCTCTGGCACTGGGAGCCATTCCCTGGCTCCTGTCCCTCCATCCCTTGTCCCCAGTCCCTCTCCAGCTCTCCTGGAGCCCCTTCAGGCCCTGCCAGGGGCTCTGAGCTCTCCCTGGATCCTTTTCCTCTCCAGGTGAGCATTCCCAGCTCTCCCAGCCTGCCACGTCACCAAATGTCAAACTGCAGCCAGGGATTCCCGGGGTTTTCCAGGGGTGCAGAGGAAGGTGTGGGCAGGGAGGAGCTGGAGGGGCTCTGGGAGTGCCCGTGGTGCCCCTGGCTCTCCCTGGCGCTGACGGGGCCGGTGACGCCACCGGAGCCCAGAGCTGGCTTTAGCGGCCGCGCTCTTGCGTGTGAGGATGGAGAGATCGGCTTAGGTGCAAATCCACTTTGTGCAGCTTCCTGCAGCCCAGCTCTGGAGCAGAGAGTAATTAATGATCCCTGAGTACAGACTGTCCCTCAGGACAGCTGCTGGAGCCGGGGATGCCACCACAGCTGCAAACCCTGCAGGGCCCGTCCTGCCAATGGCACAGGATTTGGGCAGGGGGACACGGACACCCCTGCTGCCATCACCACTGAAAGGGTGCAGATGGATAAATCCAACCCAAATCCAAACCCAGGATTTCCCACTCTTGGTGTTACTTCAATCACTGGGATTTGCAGGTGGCAGGGATTTAATTCTGAATGGGACTCCAAAGAATCCTCCCTGAGGAGAAGAATGTTTCCCCTTGGAAGGGATGAGAGTTAAAAATGATAAACCTGAGCAGAGCTCATAAATAGATATTTTGTCACGCTGCTTACGGAGGCCGGTTACTATTGAAAGCTCTGCTCTGTAATGGGATATAAAATAGTCCCTTAAATTCCTTGGAGCTTCACTTAAGTAGTTGGATTATTGTGTTGTCCAGATTTTCTCAGATATCTTTGAAGCAGAACCTCCCCCCAGGTAGAACAGTCATTGTATATCATTTTTTTTTTTAAATTTAAGATCAGGAAATAAGTTTAATTGCAAACCAATATTGTCTTGGTGGGTTTGTTTGGTTTCTCTTGAGGGTGTTTTTTGGGGTTTTTATGTTTAGCAGAACTGGAAAGAGGCTCAGTGTGGAGGTTCTTCCCCATCACTTAATTTGCAGCTAAATAATTAATGTCCATGTATTAATTTATGGGCATTTCATTGGGTTTTGTGTGGGTTTTTTTTCTTTGATTTGGTTTTCAGGGCTTTTTTTGTTTTGCCTGGTTTAGTTTTGAGGTTGTTTTTAATCAAATCACTTCAGGTCAATCACAAAGCTTTTGAAGATGTTTTATTGGGGAAAGGGCTCAGTGCAGGTCTGGGATTGTGACATTGGCAGGAATTTCCATGAGCTCAGGGTTTATTCCATGGCTCCCAGGTGTTCCTGGGTCAGCCTTTCCACAGGGCAGCTCCCAAGGGTCCCTGGAATTACTGGGATGGGGTTTGGGATGTTCCCTGGAATTGCTGGGATGGGGTTTGGGATGTTCCCTGAAATTGCTGGATGGGGTTTGGGATGTTCCCTGGAGCTGTTGGATGGGGTTTGGGATGTTCCCTGGAGCTGTTGGATGGGGTTTGGGATGTTCCCTGGAATTACTGGGATGGGGTTTGGGATGTTCCCTGGAATTGCTGGATGGGGTTTGGGATGTTCTCTGGAATTACTGGGATGGGGTTTGGGATGTTCCCTGGAATTGCTGGATGGGGTTTGGGATGTTCCCTGGAATTGCTGGATGGGGTTTGGGATGTTCCCTGAAACTGCTGGGATGGGGTTTGGGATGTTCCCTGGAGCTGTTGGATGGGGTTTGGGATGTTCCCTGAAACTGCTGGGATGGGGTTTGGGATGTTCCCTGGAGCTGCTCAGCCCAGGGAAGCAGAGGGGAAGGAAAAGCCACCAAAATGTGCCAACTCTGATGCTGGTGATTGGGTAACACCACGTTTCTCTGCCATAAAAACACCAGGGTTTGACTCTCCTAGGGTTCAAAAGTTAATTCTTGGAATGCCTGAGGGGTTTATCAGAGCTGGCTGTGGGCCTGTTCCAGTTTTATCCAGGAGCATCTTTCTGCTCCCTGCAGTCCCCTCTGGCAGTGGTAGCTGCCCTGTGGCCCTGGGAGCACTCAGGGTCTCACAGGGGACTGGGGAAGAACACAGAACCTCCCTGGGGGAGGCACTTCCAGTTTCTCTCCTCACTCTCTCCAGCTTTGCAGTGGTTTCTCCATTGCACAATGAAGTGTAATTAAAAGCACTCAGAGCACTCCTGACATCAACAAATCATCCTAGGCCTTTTTTTTCCTCTTGAGCTCCTTTCCCTGCTTCCCATGTAATCTAATTTCCATCATCCCTGTATCAGTGGCAGGTTGCAACTTCCCCCAGGCAATGGCTGTGCTCCTTTCTCACTCTCCAGTGCTGTGCCTGCTGCTGGTCCATTAAAACACCCCAAACCAAACAACACCTCTCTGAGGGAACAGGAAATAATGAGAAACCCCACAGACACTGAGCTGTTCTTTTTGTTTTCATCAAATGCTGTGAGAAAACAATCAATTCTCTATTTACCTTCTCTTTCAGACCTACAACCAAAGCCAGTGTAACAAAAGGAGCATCCACAAAGCCATTTCAGGGAACAAAACCCTTCATTTCTACCAGCACAGCCCACGGATGGTTCCAGAAGGCATCAATCCCAAAGTGCACAAAATGTTTATCAGTGCTGAGGAACAGGAGCCCAGCAGCTCGAGGATGCTTTCCAAAGAGAGGAGATCCAGTTCCCTGCAGCACAGATCTGCTCTCCTTGCCTGTGGCACTGGTAAGAGGCTGTTTGATGGTGTTTCCAGCCTTTCCAAGCCTCTTTCCCAGGGGATTGTGGCTCTGCAGGGTCACTCTGTCAGCTCAGGGCTTTTCCTGGGCATCCTCACAGCTCTGCCCTGAGCCAGGCCTTTCTTCATCCTTCTCCATGGAGTCACTCACTGGAGGTCAGACACTCCAGCTGCAGGCACAGGAGGCAAATGTTCATCACAGAATCCCAAAATCCCAGACTGGATTGGGTTGGAGGGACTTTAAAGTCCCCGTGGGCAGGGACACCTTCCCCTGTCCCAGGCTGCTCCAACCCCACCCAGCCTGGCCTGGGACACTGCCAGCTTTCTCTGGCTTTGTAAATGACAATAAAACAGAAATGCTTGAAAAGTGAGGGACTTTGATGTGAGGAAAAGGAGAAATCAAGGGTGGGATATTTATTAATTGTGCAGATTCTCTTGGAGGAAAATTCGGAAAATTCTCTTGGAGGCTTTTTAAGCTGATGCAGTTCAGTGGCACAGGAATGCTCAGGAAACTGAACACAATCCTCAGAGAGGGACAAAAGAGCTGCTTTTTATATAAATACTCAAGAATTTATATATATTTATATAAATACTCGGAAATTTATATATATTTATATAAATACTCGGAAATTTTCATGCTCTATCTCCTCCTTACTGCTTTCTGTAAAGAACAACAGCAACTTCTTGAAAGAAGAAACTCAAAGCCTTGGGAAACTTCTTATTTCTGATTAAACAGACACAGCTGCTGGAAACCAATCAGAGCACAACGTGGAATGAAAATAATCATTCTGGAGCATTTGTTGGTCTGTCCTAGAGAGGAGAAACGAGCAGGGAGGGCATAAAGGAAAGGATAATGCTGGGAATGTTCCTGCTGTGGGAGGGGCTGGAATTACCCAGTGCCTTCTGTGTGAGCCACGAGTGCAGCTCCCCAGGGCTGGGGGTGCTGGGTCCCCAAAGGGGCCAGGGCTGATTTGCCAAAGATGATCAGGGTTGAGTCCCCAGGGTGGTCATGGCAGGACAGAGTCCCCAGGGTGGCCAGGACAGAGTCCCTAGAGTGGCCAGGACAGAAGCCCCAGGGTGGCCAAGACAGGACAGAGGCCCCAGGGTGGCCATTGCAGGACAGAGTCCCCAGGGTGGCCAGGACAGAAGCCCCAGGGTGGCCAGGACAGAGGCCCCAGGGTGGCCATTGCAGGACAGAAGCCCCAGGGTGGCCAGGACAGGACAGAGGCCCCAGGGTGGCCAGGACAGAAGTCCCAGGGTGGCCAGGACAGAAGTCCCAGGGTGGCCAGGGCTCAGTGGCCCTCGTGCCCTGTGCAGGGCACTGAGCACAGCCTTGTGGATTCCCCTTCCTTGCTGGGTGACCCAGGGGCTGCTCCTGATTTTAGTGACGCTCAGGATAAAGCTCCAAAAGAGGACAAAGAAAGGAGCTGACTTTTCCACGTTTTCTCTTCATTTTAGTGCCCATTTCCACAATAAAAAATGGGTAAAGCTGGCAGCAGTGGGTGAGCTGGGTGTGTTCTCAGCTCTGCTCTCACTCTGTGGAGGTCCAGTTCATCCTCAGGTTTCTCCTGAGCTGTCATGGGCTGAGTTATCATAGAAGTTTCAGACATTGACCTTGTTTTCATGTCAAAATAAATCCAATCATGGAATCCTTTCTGTTGGAAAAGCCCTCACCCTTTCCATGAAGGAATTCCTCCCTGTGTGAGCCTCTCCTGGCCCAGCTCCAGCTTGACCTTCCTCTGGTCCTGTCACCCATTACCTGAAAAAAATATACATTTTCTGTTCTTCTTAATTTGATCCAATTTCTATTGATTTTACACCCCTCTTTCACTTCAGAACCTCTTCCATAACTTTTGTCTGTCAGCCCCAGAAGGATCCAATACCTTGTGCTGCCCCATCTTTAACCAAATGTGTCCTTCAGTTTTCACAGCTCTCCTTCAAAGAGTCCAGCAAAAAATCCATTTACTCCATAAACCTCATATATCATTTCTTGTATTTTAAGATTTTTTTTCCTCTCCCTGAATTTTGGGTTTTGTTTTTTTGGGGTTTTTTTTAAGAGTTTGCTCAGTTGAGGAGCGTGTCTGTATTGTTGTTCCTGGGAGCTGAATCTCATTTCAATCTATCAGAAATTCCTTTTTGCTTTCATCCAGATGAAATCTCATTTTGTTAATTCTTCTGCTGGTTCCCCACAATTCTTCTACTCCCTCATGTCAGAGGGATCAGTTTGGAGTCATCAATAACCGTGGGTTTTGTTGGATTTTACAATTTCACGTTATAATTACTGGTTTTATCCTAATGAGAATTGGTTTGGACTCGCTTTTTGAGATTACCAGCACCTGCTTTAGTGTTTAGTCCTCTGTGGGGTTCTCATGCCTTTCCCATGGATAATTCTTGCTCTCTTCCCAGCTGAAGAAGGTGGGGAAATGTTCCCAGTGAAAATTTGTTGTTTCTGGAGAGAACCGAGGAGAATGGTGTGGATGATTTGAGTGCTGTGTTTGTGTCTGGTAGGGCCTGGCATCCCTAACTGGGAATGTTCTTTATTTTATCTTTGATTTAATGATAATTACCCATGGGACAGCACCAGCTGCTTCCCAGGCAGGGGAGAGGCTGTGCCAGGGACTGCAGGACGTGGTGATTCCCAGCCCTGGATCCAAACAGCCCCACTCAGGGTGGGAATGTTCTCCTGCACTCCTGTTTGTCCAGGTCCCTCTTTCTCTGTGCTTGGGAAATGTGGGCAGCCACAATCCTCCCTGTGCTCCCCTGCAGGAAGCCCAGAGCTCTGGGAATGATCTGTTGATTCCATCTGGGAATGGCTCCTTGCCTGGCTCAGCTGGGCTGGTATCACGGGATCATCTCGTCTCCGTCCCGCAGGAACGCAGCTCTGAAGTCATCGTTGTTCCCAGTGTGCCCTGCTGGGGCTGGATGGCAACAGATCCTCAGGAGCAGGGAATGGGCACATTCCCAAAGCTGCCAGAGCTCCAGGAGCCCTTGGGCAGCGCTGCCAGGGATGCACAGGCTGGGATTGCTGGGGGGTCTGGGCTGGGACAGGGTTGGGATGATCCCTGGGGGTCCCAGCTCAGGATATTCCCGATCCTGTGATCCTGTGTGTCCCTCCAGCTCAGGATATTCCTGATCCTGTGATCCTGTGTGTCCCAGCTCAGGATATTCCTGATCCTGTGTGTCCCTCCAGCTCAGGATATTCCTGATCCTGTGATCCTGTGTGTCCCAGCTCAGGATATTCCTGATCCTGTGATCCTGTGTGTCCCTCCAGCTCAGGATATTCTGGGATTCTGTGATCCTGTGGGTCCCTTCCCACTCAACAATTCCCTGGTTCCAAATGCTTCTCTAAGAATTGTTCTTCATTTCCTTTTCCTTCAGGTCTCTTTTTCCCTCCTCTGCCAGGTCCTTGCCCTGGCTGTTCTCTCCTCAGGAATGTGACATCTCCTACCCTTGAATCAGAAATTCTTCATTGCAGTGTTGGTCTGGGATTGTTTAGTGATTAAAATCATCACTGCTGGTTTCTTTCTGCAGGTTTTCCTGCCCAGGACGTCAGCAGGGCTCTGGGCTCAGGGTTTGCCCCTGGCAGCT